TCCTGCTGTGGCTATAGCTAAATGGCGTGAAAATTACTCTGCAGATGAAATTCAAATGACCCACCAGAGACTGCATCACTGTTTTAATGTGACTTTCTTTGCCCTTGCTGCTCTTGCCACTAAATTCTACAAGCTGGGTCCTCATCTTCACAGGCGCTATTTTCCCCCCACAGCCGGATACTTTCTATGTCATTGTACTGTTTTCTTTCCTCTTTTCTTTTCTCCTGGTTTCTCACAAAGCTCCAAATTCATTGGGGTAGAATAAGAATTATGATTAAAACCACATCTTGGAGTAACACATAGAAAAGAAATTTCCCTAACAGAAAATAGTACTGAAGCTAATTCTCCTTGTACTATTTAAAACATGGAGGAAATATTATTTTTAAGATATTATAAATGTACAGTTCCCTTTTTATACTGTGCTATAATCCATTAAAATTTTTCCATGGATATATTAAAACTAAGTATACTTGGCTTTGTCTATTGCAGATTCTTCACTGTGAAGACAGGCTTGCATTGGCTATTGAGGCTTATTTATGGGCTTGTGACTATGTACATTGGCTGCCTGGACTAATGAAGCAAACAATATTGAAAAATAACTGAGGCTCAGTAAAATCAGTCAGCCTACCCATTATGCAGAATAGACAGCAATCAGTCTGAACTCCCAGGAGAACTTTTTAGGCATCAACCAGGAAAGGTGGTTCCCGAGGCACCTTGTCACCCCTCTGCTTTCATTTTCGTGCTCTAATTTACATTCCCTAATGAGAGCAGGCAGAAAATCTGAACATTCATCTCTACCCAGAGCCCTTGTGGGGGACCACAAAGCCATCCTGAGCCTTTGTACTTCAGAGTGAGTGGTGTTCTCTTTATTTGGGTGACTCAATAACCATGGCAACATTTTGTCTGGTTTGGCTTTGACAAGCCTGTCCAATTTACTCCGGAGCTTGCATTATCATTTCCTCACCTATACCAACCAAGTTATCACTGAAGGTGTTCCCCAGCCCCTCATATACTTAGCATTCATGCTGAGATCAGCAGTTTATTTTCCTCACGTACCTTTTCTAGCTGAATAGCCAGCAAAACCCTGCTTTGCTCCAGCTCATGCCAAACTCCCCTGCTAACACATGCCTTCCTGATCCTGACTGATGGGTATTGCTGTCTGTCCATACAGCTGGGATATTTTTGTTCAATTATATTTTTCCTCTGAGGTAATAACATCTACATTTCCAGCAAGGGGGAAGAAAGCCGTTATTTCTGAATTCAGGCATTGACCTGAATGCATCTGTTAGAAGTAACACTGCAGCTAAACCCCACCAAAATCAGTGGGCATCTGATGATTTGATGTACCTTTGGCAGTGGGATAACAAGGGCTTTGAGACAGCTGCAAAACTGAATCTTCCTAGTAGCTAAATTCAGGCAGGTGAGCAGAAGAGTGCAAAACAACGCAAAAAAAAAAAAAAAAAGACAAAAAACCACTTTTGACATTTCCAAGGAAACTGTATACAAAAATATATACCATGGCTTTACACATCTTTCACTGGTGGCTACTAGTTGGATGCAGGAACTATTGCCTCGCAGCTGCATGGATTTCATTAACCCCTTCAGGCCATCAGATGTATCACAGAGTTAGAAAGGTCTACATTTTTTCATTCAGTTCTAATTTGCTTAGTTCCATACCTCTTTGTATGCTCAGCTGACTGCTAGAAAGCCTGAGCCCCATACTCCTGTTCCCATGCTGGAGTGTTATGAAAAGCAGAAGACGGGAATCTTGAGCTATTGTGGAGGAAGTTTTTGTACTTACTAGATTTTCCCGGTGTAATCATGTTTTCAGCAGAGTTCTACAAGAAGTACAAGTATTTATCACCACTTTGTATTTAAAATATACAGTGGAAGTCCCATTGTAGTAATTTTTTCTTTGCAAAGCCGCCATTCTGCCTTTTTGTATGATACCGGTAGATACTGGCAGGAGAGTTGTCAAGAGTGAGATACAATGAAACACTGCTTTTAAACGGGACTCCAGTCAAGAGTGCTTGGTAAGAAAACTTTATCAGCAAGCTGCTTCCTAGCTGTAGTTGCTATCGATATGTTACAACCAACACTCTGCCTCTTAATGAACTTCCTTGCCCTGCTTCCCCACTCTCAGAAATCTGTGGTGGCTGCTAACGGAAAACAGTCTTCTGCATTCACATATTCCATGTAAACAAACTGAAGTGTTTCTGAAAATATTTATTGTGGTGGTTGCTGTTGAAGATTCTTATCTTAGAAAATGCAAGTTGCAAATAAAACAGACCATGGCTGTTTACAAACAACTTGTAAGTACTTCCAGAAAGCTTGCTATTTGGATCTGTAGGAGTTGGGAGATACCATACAGATGATCTGATGTGCCCAGAAGTTCTTTATAAATACCAAATGCCTCTTTGAACTCATTTTTGGAAACCAGTATATCTCACATCCACAGAGATTTAGCATGATAAAGGCTTGTACATCTCAGATGAAATCACACATTTGACACTAAACACCTGCTAGGGCATCCTTCCTTCTTATCTAATGGTAAGAACGGTGGCAATTTAAAAAGAAATTACTGAAATGGTGGACATATTTAGACAGAGAATTATCCTCTGCTCTGTCTGACTACTCTCATTCCTCTGAAAATTGCCTTGGAAGGGAACAAAAATAAAAGTTCAGCCATCCATTGCTAGGC